TCTCCCCTCCCCCCTCTCCTCTCTTGCCTTGGCAGCAGCTTCACTCGTTTGTGGTTCGTCTTTCCCCCGCCTCCTCCTCCTCCTCCCTCCCTTCCCCCCGCCTCCTCCTCCCCCCCTTCACTTCCTACCGCAAAACTGACCAGGACGATATCAACCCCCTCCCCAACCCTTTGCGGTATGCACAGTACGGATTGCCACGTGGGCCCCCAAACACCGATAACACACGCTTACAGCTAACCCTAACTGTCCTCTCTCGCAAAAGCTGCCTCAACCTGTACCAGATCTGACCAGATCAGTTGGCCCTATCAGTCTTGCACACTTCACCTCCCCCTGATGTACCACTGATCGCACGCCGTCAGCGCGGCCCTGATCCAACCAACACACAGCCCATAACCAGAGGCCCTCTCACCACAACCGGTCCTCCCCCTCCCCCTCACCCTCTTGCCCTGGCAGCAGCTTCACTCGTTTGTGGTTCGTCTTTCCCCCTCCCCTTCCCCCTCCACTCCCCTCCCCCTCCACTCCCCCCCGCGATACAGTCCCCCCAATGTCGCACCCACTTGTCCGCGGGTCCCTCCAACGGCTGCTCCACCTCCGCGGTGAACAAATCCAATTGGGCAAGAGTTACCCACTCGTCCATGCGCCGGTTGACTGGCGGGCGGGAGGGGGTTGCGCGGCAGGGGGGGAAGACGAACCACAAAGGGGGCCCGGGGGGGAAGGGGAGGAAGGGAGGGAGGGAGGTTGAAGAATGGAGAGGCGGGGATTACGTGCGAAGGTTAAAAGCGCCAACTGGCCATACGAGGAGCGGAGAAGATGGGAGAGGGCCGAGCCACAGCCATTGAAGCTGATGATACCATAGGTAGAGATACCAGAGGTAAGCAAGGAATAGACAGTTACTGCAGGAAATTGCAGGAAGTTAGGGAGTGGCTGGGCCAGGTTACGCACACACACACACACACACACACACACACACGCGCGCGCGCGCGCATGCACGCACGGACCCAACCCCGCGCCTTGTCACACAGATATACCTACATAAGTCCCCCCACATACCAGATGCACATAGCTACCCCCACGTCCTACACCCCGCGCCAAGCACGGACACCCGCACAACTCCCCGCGGCTCTCCCGCAATCCCCCCTCTTCCCCCGTACAGTACCCACCTTCCATGCGATGCTAGAAGTAACAGGCTCGGATGACACCCAGCTCCTCCAAACTGGGACATCCCCCGTTCGCCACTCACTTTCACAACCCTCCCAAACCTTCGCGTGCATCGCCCACCCTCGCAACCCCCATCCCGCCAGTCCCCTCCCCTCCCTTCTCCCTCCCCCTTCCTGTCCCTCTGCCGCATCACTCTTTCCTTCCTTGGCATCCCCTTCACTCGTTCGTGGTTCGTCTTCCCCCCCCCCTTCCCCTCCCCCATCATCCCGCCCTCCCCCCTCCAAGCCAACGCACATCCTAGGTAGTGGACGTAGTAGTCCCAGCCCCGCGGGTCGCCCGGGTCACCGAAATTCCGCCGCTCAATGACCCGGACCGTGTGGTAAGCCCCATCTCGCCACTTGCAATCCACGCGGGTGCCGATGTCCAGCGGGAGGCGGACCTG